AATGTATGAATATAATATACAAGTTTCACTTTTTAAATGGAATTACTGAAATAAATCTACTTTTTCATGATATTCTAATTTTATGACCAGCACCTGTATATTTGAATACTAATCATGTTTTGCATATTACTGGAGAACATTAAAATTGTTTTATTAAAGACTCACTTTTGTTTCTCCCCAGCATCCCTACAACATCAGGAACTTTGTTACGATTTGTGGATTCCTGAGCAGCTACGGTGGTCACGACTACCAGTGAGCAAACTGAACAAACAGGATTTAAGTCAAGATGAAAAGTCTGTGCCAAATGTCTCACAAACCCTTCTGGGTTAATGTGTACAATAACAATAAGGTTTTGATTAAAAACTTAATGTTTTATTTTTCCCTCAGATGTGACGTGATTGATTTAGAAAGTAGGAATGAAAGACTCATTCCTTTATAAAGTTGTAAGCTAAATTAATTTGTTTCTGGATATTTTTTCCCCATTTAAAAAATATATATGTATATTAACTTCACGTAAGCTTTGAAAAATATGTCCACTTGAGTTGATGAGAAATGATTTATGCTGGAAATTAAACATTTTGTCGATGTCTCTGTTCTCAACTATAAGTCTCAATTGGGTTTTGATTCTTACACATTCCAGTATTGTCCTGATTGAAACATTGTTAAAAGAACGTTTATATTTTATGTTTTGGATCACTTTTAGTTGAGATTATGGCAACCATTTGCTATGAAAGTATCCTTAAGCTTTTCCAACGCCACAATGTAGTTAGTCAATTTTGTATATTGATGCTAAGTGAGACAAACTGGTGCTTTTGCTCAGAGTAACCATTTTATCTAATTCTATTTTTTTTTAACTGTTTATTTAGATCAGAGTGAATACAAACGCAGCAGAAAAATAATCATTATTTCAAATGTCAACAATGAGTCAGTGGGGAATGATTAAACCATTTTAATGTTTGATAAAGAATGGAAAGTAAGGACCTAAAAGAACAAAACAAAAGATTTTTACAGGAATTTATTGGCTTTTTCAAAATGTGACAATAGTTTTTAAATCCATAAAACTAAAGAGTCACAACATTGGCTTGAATAAAAGCACAGCTTGATGTCTGATACAATACAGATGACCAACATGTACTTAACCCCTGATCTAGTAATTCAAATACATTTTGTAAATAGGCAACCGTAGCATTTCTAATCWTAGTTTTCAGTATATGATGCACAGACATGCTATCAGCATTAATTACAAAAAATAGCTATTGTAGGGAGATTAAAGTAGAGTTAACTGTAGAGGTAATAAACAAAGATATTCATAGTGTTAGTTAATGAGTGAGTGCGTCTAACTTCTGTGAAGAAAGATACAAAATAGTCAAATCACGATTATAACAAAAAAAAGGAAGAGGAGTACACTGTGGTCTACACCACAACTGACAGTTGATTGGTTACCGTTAGAGGGTGCAGATGATAAACTTAGTGATGTTAGCCAGTAGTGATGCTTAAAAAGAAAATAATCAAATGTGCTGCACAAAAGGTACTCGATAAATGCCCTCAGAGCACTAAAGGCGCTCTTGTTCCCCCATCACCAAAACTTCTGAAGGTTCCTGTTCTAATTTGTAATCAAGTTTACAGCTTTGCTCTCAAAGGCAGCTGTACAGGTGAGACGTGTTTAAGGGTAAATAATGCAAAGTAAAAGAAGGGGGGAAAAAAAACTTGAAAAGCTCAAATTGGATAAACTCCAGAAAATACTGATCTTTTACATATTTTTTAGAAACATTGTCAGATTCTCTATTCGTCTAAATTTTCACTTTTTTGGGGGGCACTGGTATCCGTTTCAAGGCTGAAAAACTAATGGAAATGATTCACAAAAAGTTATCCTAAGCATCAAAAAATTCACACAACGGCAGTGAGATGATGCGACCGCCTTCACAAAGAGAAAGTGAACTCGAAAATGCCTTTTTGATCGAAGAGCTGAAACGACGGCAAACTGTCAGATGAAACTTCCACGATAAATTTCCTTTGCGGCTAAAATACATCATGTGTGCAGGATTTTATTTGGCAATATTTCTTCAACTCATAACAAGACTGTAAACAAACAAAATCAAATAAAAGACGAACAGGTGGTAAAGTAAGCTCATGACATTCCACCGTCTATTTTAGAAAACATCCAATCTATTTTAGAAGGCCTCGAGAAGTTCAGASTCTTAGCTATACAGTATACAAAAACCCGGAGTCTTGAATAGTCCAAACCTTATTTCTAAAGCTGAGCTTGTTAATATTTTTTTTATGAAAACAGCTCTAACTACACTTATGGAAGGACAGGATCTGAAGTACATTGTGTGTGTATACTGGTGTGTTTCTTTTGTGTCTTTAGCCCTTCCCACTAACCCCCCCTCACCACCAGCGATCATATTTCCCAGAAACTGTTCCACTGCTGGAAGTCTTAGAAAAGAGTGCACTTCCTGCCCTTCTTCTTGACGGGTGGAGGGCACAGAACGGCCCGGATGGCCTCGTCAAACACAGTTTTAAGGCCACGCTGAGTCAGGGCTGAGCACTCCAGGTACTTGACAGAACCTGAAGAAAGCACAACGAAAGTGTACTGGTTTGTTTGTGGGATTTGTTTTCAGAAAATGAAAGAGTATAAAGAGGTCAGTCAATTTGTTACCAATCTCTTTTGCCATGGCCAGGCCTTGGGGATAGGTGATGGGGGAGAGTTTCTTTTCCTTCAGCTTCTCCATGGTGTCCTTGTCATCTCTTAAATCCAGCTTGGTGCCCACCAATATGATGGGAGTGTTGGGACAATGGTGTCTAACCTCAGGATACCACTAAACAACAAGTTAAACAAATCCATCAGGTTGACAAACTAAAAATGCTTTAATTTTTGTTTGTAAATAAATACAATTGTTTTGTTGAATTAATACAAAAAAAGAATGTTCCAAGCTGCACAAAGTAGTAGTAAAGTTGTGAGCAGGAAAAACAAAATGAAAGCTGATTCATTTACAGGAGGAACTGAGGACTAGATAATTATTTCCTGTGTTTATCGCCAAAAAAACTCACTGAGTAATCACACAACCCATGTCTGTAAGTATGTCTTTCTAAAGTAATGTAAAGTACACATGGATACACAAGACCTGGTACCAGTGACTTTACTCATTTTTGTATATATTCACACCTAAAAACAATTAGTTTGGCATCAAAAYACAGGATTTTGGCTTCAATTCATTGATAACAGATTWTTCACACTCATGTTTCACAAACTTCCAACCACATCTTTAAAGTCAGGTTGAAAGGTAGATAATGAGTCATTTTTATGATCGAATTACTGTAGTGAGTGATGATACTAATTAAACCAGGCTAACACAAACACACTGGTACTCCAGTTATACATTAAAAAAGTAAATCCAAAAAATAAAAGAATGCAAATGCTGTTACAAGCTTTATTGTTTCCCACACGGAGGTATGCTCACCTTTGCGCGGACGTTTTCGAATGAGGCGGGACTCACAAGAGAAAAGCAGATAAGGAACACATCCTGGTTAAAAATGGAAKGAAAAAACATCAGTTCAGGACATTTATTTCCTAGTAAAAACAAATCGGACCTTAAATCTCTTGCTTTGATTTCATTTGTCCCCTCTTAGTTCCCAATGGATCATTCGCTTTAAGTTAAAAATTTGTGTTTTGTTTTGTACCGTCTGTGGGTAGGAAAGTGGGCGGAGTCTGTCATAGTCTTCTTGTCCTGCTGTATCCCAAAGACCCAGGTTCACTGGCTTTCCATCCACCATCACGTTGGCGGAGTAGTTGTCGAATCTGAGAAAARGATGTGCAAATAAGACAAACCAATCAGTCTTAAAACTGATATAAAATGTAACAAAACAAATGTGTTWTGCCGTTACGCTAGTCTTGCTTTCCTTTTAAAATTAATCTTCAGCTTCTAAATTTATCAGGAACAAGTTTTTGCTAATCAAACACCCGCTGCGTCAGTCTAGATTACAACAGTGATCGGAACAAACGCAGCGAGTCGACAATCAGATAAGAAGCAGGTTTTCTTTACAACACCCACTAACACASGCGCTCTTAAGTCTGAATTACAGTCTCCAGCAGTGATTGTCACCTCTGGGACGCAAACTTTCAGCTACAAAAACAACCGAGGATAAGATGTCACCTCAATCATTCGCTGGATGTYGAAGAAACGGGTGGAGACAAATCATGGTCAGCTCCACTTTCATAAATAAATAACGACAGCCTGCACTGCAGTCTCAGACACTCACACTGTGGGGATGTACTCTCCAGGAAAGGCATTGGTGGTGTAGCTGATGAGCAGACAAGTCTTACCCACAGCACTGGAAGAGAGAACAGACTTTATCAGTGTTTTCAAAAACAAAGCCAACATTTTCACTTTGAACGGACCTGCAGATCAGGGAAAGGTTAGCATCGTTGCTGAAGTAAAAAAAAAAAAAAAAGTCATGTGAATTTGGTCCAATGATGAAGTTTATTTAAATTAAAGGCCTGGCTTTCCTTAAAGGAATGAATACCACCCATCGATTTTCATACCAGAATTGTAAACAAAGGCTGTTTCTCTCAATTTCAAGTTTTAATCAAAGATGTTGCGCATTGTGTGGTGCTCAGAGTTTGTTTTYTGGATTATGCTCATCTACTTKCACASCAAACTGAAGCTCYATATCTGTAAAACTGACCGTTAAACTCTTTTTATTTTGGTTAATATTCATTAGCTGTATCATCACCTTGAACCAAGTTATAGTCATTCTTATTTTTCTTCACTTCATTAAAATTCATTCACTAGTTCTTGACATCCTTCGGTAAACAAACACAAACGAGCAAAAACGTTAAAGCCCTCGGTGGAGGARGACAAATCTTATAGAAATTTGATGTGTGAGTTTTCTGTGATAACATGCGGTAGATTTATAACAAATATGTTTGCTGAACACYTGAACTTTACACAATGTCCGCTGTTAAAATTCACCTGCATCAAAACAGCTGGATGAAAGTAACGTTTTCATGCTCTGCTCCACCGGTACTGTGTGGAAGCAGCTTGGAAGAAATGTGCAGCAAAAAAGGTGGCAATAAATGGTGAAAGGTGAAATGTACACACACAAAAGGCAATGATCAAAAGAAACTATTTATTCCTAAAACAATTATTACGCTTAGCAATTAGAAAAACAAGTTTGGCAACACGAGTTGCTTTTTAAAAATCAAATACGAACTAGAAAATAAATTACCACTGATATAGGGGATAAACAAAACTGCTGTGAAAATATTTGGTACTTAATGAAACTTTGTTTCCTCTTGTATTAAATCGAAAATAAAACATTTAAGTCAGCCAAAGGCCTTGAATGATTGCTGCAGAGGTAGACACCACACCCAGAACTTGTGCCTGTTTACCACCTTACGTACAATTACTCACACGTTAATCCTCCGTCTTAAAGTGTTGAAATAAACCTTTAAATTTATCAGCAACTCTTATGAAACCGCACAATTTTAACCACATCCATTGTGCGTGATCAGAAATGACAATATAYAATAAATAAATAAATAAATCTCAGRAGCGGTGCAGATTTTTTTGTTAAATTCCAATTAAATCCGCGGTTAAACGGAGTAACAGAAGCTGCTTTAAGTTTCACCGACAGCCCAGAAAGAGGAAAACTTGAGGACAGATTAACCASACTCTTTTCCACGATGTTGTGACACAACAGTCGCTTCAATGAATCACATAATGACGGTAACTTAAGCCTGATACTGGCAGGAGGTTAACAAGTTTGTTTTCCGAGTCCCAGACACGAACGCTGACAGTAAACTTTAACTTTATACGTTTAGAAAAATAACAATAAAACCGGATTAGATGTTAGCTAGTCAGATGACAACATTATTAAACATTAAGACTAATGAAGAATCAAACTCATAGTTATGTGAACTTACCCGTCTCCGACAACCACACACTTTATGGCCTGCATTGCGCCGCYGCTAAAGGAATGCTAAGTTAGCCCAAGAGCTAGCTAACGTTAGCTCGGCTCTCTTTTTTTTTTTCCCCCTTTGTCCGGAACTGCTCCCTGGCGAAACGTCCCAACAGCCTCCCGGTACGGTCTCCGGTGCTACAACACACCTCAGCCGATGAGAAAGAAGGAGCGGTGAACTTACAGTAACTTATTTCGTACTTTAACGCGACTTTACTCAGATATCTCCTCGCGACATTCCCACGCTTTCGTAAGCTTGATTTGGGAGAACTGTGGAGCAAAACAGCGGCCACCACCCCTGAGAGGGAAAAAAATGAAGGCAGTCACCAGCAGATGGAGCATCCGGTTTACCGGGGTTGATACGCCCACACACTTCACCTTACGAAACAAAACAAGCAGCCTGAGAAACACCCATTTTTTTCTTCACAAGGCCGGTCAAATTAAGTATATTATAATCTAGTCTATTGAAACAGCTATTTAAAGCATGGATTGTACATAGTATGTATAAAAACATCTAAGACGGACGATTTAACATGTGACACCGAGGAACTGACGTCAGCAGCTTGGACAGAGTTTGAAGAGCATTTTCCCCCTGAATACTGTCTTCCAGGCTTTGCTTCGAGAACGACAGCGAGAAAAAAAAAACACCAGCTTCTCACCTGAGAAACAGGTGTTTTTTCTGCTTTCTTCTGTAAATAGGCGGAAATGTAACCTTTCAGCCTCTTTACAGTAATACACTACAAAGCCAGTAAGACTACGATCAGTACATCCAATACATTCAAACATGGGGGCCTTGATCTAGAAAGAAAGGTAAAAAAAAACAAAGTGTCACTGTTGATTATGGAGGACCGAAAATGACATAAATATTTAATAAAAAAGCAGAAATGTATAAGTGGCCCAATAAAAAATATATTAAAAATGCACCACTTAATTTAATTTAAACATTAGCTCATGTTTTCTAATAAAATTCACCTTCAGATTTATAATTTTTTATTGTTTTTCCCACACGTCTTTTTATTTCCA